TGCAGGACTCGGGAGGACGCGTTATCCATTTGATAAGCGAGCCAGGAGTGCGCGAAATGGCTCCGTGACGAAACCTCGGCCTCGAGGAGCCTCTTCGTCGAGGTAATATACGTTACGAGCGCAGGACACGTGCAAAAAGTCGGTCGGGACAGAAACGTCCCAGTCGCAGGGCATAAAAGTCCTTTGTCCGAACGAGACCGCGTTACCTCGGACCATCCTCCAGCTCCCGACCTAACAAATTAGGTAACGGAGTAGGTACTTAATACGATAACGTATTAAGGCCCGTTACAACGTGGGCGGGCGTTACAACACGTGTACACGTTCTCCCATTACGTACGGTCGCGCGTTCGCCCATTACCGCGCTCTAAATGTCGAAAGAGTCCGCTGAAGAGGGAAGGGGGCGGTCGGACAAAAATCGGAGGTCCTTAACGCGGAGGATAATTCAAAACGGATCCTCTCTCGCGACTAGGGAGCGGCGCGATCGCGGTCCCTCGGAAACCTCGACTTATAAATCTGCAGGGCCGACGTTAATCTCGGACGGCTCGTCCGGTCGGGAAAAGCGAGCTCGCCGAAATGGCGAAATTCGAGGCCTTCCGGATCCCGAGCAAAAGGGGGGACGATAACGATGATTAATACCGCCGATCGCAACCTTAGGCGCCGTTGTGCAACGGCTAAGTACGAGCGGCGTAATCGATGGAAGGCTTCCACCGGAAGGACCTCTTCTTCTAGGGAACTCTCGATTCGATGATTCCGGGCTTACAGGGCTCCGGTCCCTCGTCTTTGCGTATTACCTCGGTGCGAAAGTCATCTTCGGATTGCACTTACATCGGGGCACGTGACCTCCTTCCGCCTCCCACGATAAATCCTGCTGCGCCGCGCCGGGGACGACTGGCGGGCGCCGTAAACCCATAAACCTGCCAAGGATAGAAATCCCCCAGATATCGGGTGGACACTTCTACATATGTAATGGCGATGTGTAAGATATGTGCCGCGGGTGCGGTATGTGCGCCGCGATATGTGCCCCGGGTTACTAAGAAGTTATTGCGCCGAAAAATTACGACGGGGTGCACCGAGCTCGAGTACCGGCCTTTATGACGCACGACTCGCCGCGATTGCGACGCATCTTTACGGCTAATCAAATCTTTGCTCGAGTCATGGTCGATCCTTGGGGGAGGGGAAATCTCATAAGGCGCGTGTTAAAGTATTTCCTTGCTCGCGGGACTTAGAATCTGGCCGGGGATGCGAATAGAACTGAAATCTCGGGGATATCGAGTGAGCGCTTTCACATATGTACGGTATATGGCTCCTGTAAGAAGACGTTGCCTCCAAAATATATGGCGGCTCGTGCAATAGACTATCCACCGTAAAACGGGATCACCCGCCGTCCGTTCGACTGCTGTCACGTCGCGTCGCATTTTCCAAAAGATTCACGAAGGGGAGTAAAAGCGGGCGAGAAGGACGCTCGGGTTTGGGGGAACTGTTAATGGAAATCTGGAGAATCCGTCGAAACGGAAAGTGCCATTCGCGTCGTCGGGTGTGTTTATTTTCTCGGGTACCTTCGGCGAAACTTTTCCCGCTAATGACTGGAGTCGGTGACTCGAAGAGGTGATCGTTAAAAGTCTCAGGGCATTAGAATTGTAAAAGGTTGTCGCGCAAACGAGCACCCCCGTCTTAAGACGTTCGAAACTGGGACTTCTTTCGCCCTCGGGATTTCAATGAGGCAGCGGAAGACAAATTTCCGAATGTATTTCGGGGGCCGAGCAGCTAGTCGATCACCTTCGAATTTCCGCGGCCTTTGATGGCCTTCGAAAAATTCCCGGGAAAATCTATGCTCCTGTAACTTGCCCGGCTGCGGACCTTCCACTCCATCTCCTTCATTTCCGGGCCATCGTTCATCGTCCTGGTCCCTACTAAACCGTGAGTCCTCCCTCGAGACTGGCGACCTCCTCGACAGGGTCGCCTTCGAGGGGAAAATGCACTGGTAGACCTCCGAGCTAACCAATTAACTCGGGAAAATAAATAAAGGAAGGGAAGGTGTACAAATAAGTTAAAAAAAAAAAGACGAAAAAAGGTGGATGTCTCCATTGTTACGAGCGGATCGAATGAGCTGACTGCGAGGTCGATAGTCTGCTTCTTCGACTATTGACGTAACGAGAGACGCCGGTCATCGCTATAGATCCGGCAATTTCAGAAGCGTGACGAGCTCTTAGAGGGATAACGATACTCCGATGAGGCCGATACGGTTCTTGCGAAACTTTTGCATTGTGAGCCTCTTTGTGCCGGTTTGACGTAACCTGTGTATATTGGTTTCGACAGTGGCCAAAATCCCAGTCGATCCTTAACAATGGCGATGGAACGGCCGAGGCCAGGTCGACCTCTCTGGGCTAGCCGCGGAATGGACGCAAAAGGGGCCAATCAAGCCGATTCACTGAACACAGAGATCGACAAAAGGATCTTGCGGAATAAAAGAAAACCCTAAAGTCTCTCAAGGGCCCTTTGAGCTTTCGTTAAGCCCGGCGCCGAGGACGATTCCTTGGCACACCTCTGCACGACCCTTGAAATCTCTCAAATTTAACCTAGAAGGTGTACGAAATATCCGGTCTTATCGCTCCTAGTCCACGATTTGTTCCAGCAAATCGACTAATCGAGTTATGTTTCTAATTTTTCCACCACCTTGTCCATTATACCTCCTCTTTCGGCTTGGCGGACGTTCTCGAGTTTCGATTCGAAATGGAGGGTCGAGTGGGCCTCTTGGCGTGCACCTCCACCTGTTCATGCACAATTAACGCGGGACCAGAAATGCAGCTACCACTTTGGAGCCCGCGTTCTTCACACGTACGGTGAATTTGACATACGAGAGAACCGCTCCCTGAGCCAACTTTAGACGAGACTCATAAAAGACCTCGGGAGGCGAACCTGTATAATGGAACGCGAACTTAAAAGTCAAGCCTTGTGTCAAGTGAGTCGCCGAAAACGACTTTATCGCGGTGCAGTTTAGTCAGACATCTGGGGCACCCTCGTTTTACGAAATACCCTGATGCCCAAATCCAGCAAAACGAGCATCACTCAACTTATACGTCCCAATCGCCATTAATTTCTGAAACTAGCACGACAAAACCTCGACATACTTCCACCCAACCTCATGTCCCGTGATAACGTGCATCTGGCCACTTCGATCGAGTGCAGGACCCTATCAGGATCCCCGATATTCCACGATCCCGTTTAGGACCTCTAGAGCGCATTATCGGGTTTCACTGTACTTTGTTGTCATAGTAGTAGCAATGACGCTCTACCTCGAGTTCCGCCGAGAGCGTATTATCGAGGTCTTTCTCTACTTTGTTATCACAGGAACAGGAAGGATGTTATTCCCAGTCGGAATACCGATACTCGGCCGCGATCCGGAAAAAACACAATCGAGATCTCGAGATGGACGATTCCCGGTTGATGATTCTATCTCGAGCTGGTCGATCTTTGTAAAAATGGCGAGCTCCTCTCCTTTGTCAAGCGAAGAGTCGAGAGAGGCCAGGAGATGGATCGCCGCACGTGTGAGCGGGATTGCGGAAATATTGCGGATCCTTCCCATGGACGGTCCCGCAACGGAAGAGATCCCGCGACTACTTCCCCCCAGTCCTGGGCTGTCTAAGTGTCGACTAACGAGTGGGAGACTGGATGCAACGTTTCACCAAGTCCGAACAAAGGGAACATATCGGACACGCCGTGGATTTCTAGCGTGCGTGCTCTGGAAGTGCCACGCAACGACGAGGCGCGGATAGACGCGTGTGAAGTCGTGCCGCGGTTTACGCAACGCCTGACACCTCACTTTGGAGCCGGTTTTCTTTCGGATCGCCCGATTTCTGTTAGGAGTGAAGTCTAAAGAAGAAGATTCGCTTCGCCTCGTTTCTTATTGAACATTGCGGGAAGCCTTTTACGCGGTCCGACACGCTGGAAGCTCCGATCATGTTTCGAAGCTGACGGAAAAATGGCCTAACCACTTTGCGGAACGGAATGGGAGTTTGTGAAACAATGACCACTTACGTCCATTGTCCCTGGAGGGGTCTTCTTCCTGACATTAAGTAATTCCAAGATGCTGGAAAGAAGTTAGACTACTCGTCTAAATTTTATGCCGTCTGGTTCTATCCGACTTTTCCATGGGCCGCAATTGCGACACAACCGACGTTTTCTTGAGACGTGCGGGATTTTTAATGGGGTTAAGAAGTCGTACCAAGGATACCATTTGTCACTTACGTTTACTCTGGCTCGGATATAAATTGTACATAGGTGAGGTCGCATATAAATAACGCACTTATGATTCAATGGCAAGTCTTCGGGAGACGTTCTCGACCTTGTATAATATGATGCGATTAATATCTAGAACACGCGCGCTTTCGACTGAAGAGTATTAAATCCGTGGCCGTCACTGGATGTACGAGTACGCCTCTTAAGTGGTACGAGGGAATTATGCGTAAAAAACATACCACGATTTCGGTAAATCGAGAACGAGGTGCAGGAATTCTAAGAGACGCCCGCTAAGAGCGTGCAACGGATTTGCTCGAATCTCCCTTTTATTGCGGCATGGGAAACCAATGACTCATAAGGCAAGGGAGATTTCAAGTGTATTGCGGCAGACTTTCACGATTCACATCACGGTCACATCGCGGCGAACGCGTTAATCGTGAGAACGCGTTACCTGGCTTCATAGTGCCCGCCAGGAGTAACTCTTCTTAACTTAGCGGCCTCCGCGATCCTGCAGGACTTTCCCATCCTCCAACCGAACCCTGACACTGTGAGATTACAAGTGTAGAGAAAATATCTCCCTTGGGAATAATTTTCCGAAATTTCTCCCCCTGAGTTTAGCGGACGCCGCGATGGGGTTCAGCCGGTCAAGCAGCGTAAACTCAGCCAGTGACTCGTAACGGACGTTCCGTCGTAAAGATTGACGTTAAGTATACTTAAGAATTGGTAATATCCTACTTCTCCACGAGTCTACGTCCAGGAGGCCTTTAATGGAACGTCGGGGTACCGTACGTGGGCGAAGGATCGTTCGAGCCGTACGAGTTGCCCGAGTAGCCTCCGTAGTTCTTGTACCCATTGTCCAGCGAATTCGAGCCGAATTGGTAATTCTGATTGTATCCAGTGTTATAGTTCGCCCCGTTGCCCTGGTAGTTGTTGTAGCCACCTTGATTACCTGCAGAAATATTCGCGTGAGAGGAGTAAAAGGGCGGCGGATCGATGAAAGAGGTACCACGTCAACGAGTAAGTTCGTAAACGTCGTAACGACGCCACGACCGGGTAAGACGGCGTTACCTGCGCCGTTGTAGCCGACGTCTATGGCGTTCCCATTGAAATCATAGCTCCTGCCACCGTTGTTGTTGTTGTTGTAACCATTGTTGCCGTTGGCGTTGTACTGTTCCGGGTAAGAGGCCTCCCCTTCGTACCGCACATCGGCATGGAACCCAGTCCTCCAATCTGCTGTGTAACTCACGATTTGCGTCCGTCCGTCCGGAAGTTGAACCCTGTATTCTCCCCGAACGGTGTCCCCATCGCTCGTCTCTCTCCGACCGAAGTCGTTTCCGCTAGCTGCATCCTTCACGGCGTACCCGAACTCGTAGGACTTTGGCTGGAACCAGTTTGCAAAGTTAGATTAATATTGGGACCACTGGACAGGAGTGGAACGTTCGTCGGTTTTGACGATTTCCGATTCGATTTTTTAGCAACGATTTTGCGACGATTTTTTAGCAATCATTTTGCGACAACTTTTTGGCTACGATTCCCCGAGGATTTTTATTCCGAATAATAGTACCATATTTAAGTAGAAAGGGGTTCGACGTTTGCCCGGGTTGCGCGAAATGATTTTCCTGTCGATCCGAGAGCCCGTCACTCGAGGTTACCGGCTAACGAGATTAATCGGGCTTGTCGCGTCACTTATCTCGATGCCAATCGATTATCTCGATTTGGCGGATCAACACGGTCGCTGACTCTATCTTTATTCCCGGCGTATTTCATTTATAGCGCTATCACGAGAAGCGCCATATTTATTCCGGCTCGAAGTAACGAGCTGTCGACCCGACGAGAATATTTAGTTTTAACCAACCGCGTTTAACTTGATATCCGTCGATAATGCTTGCCTGGCTATCGATGTAGTCTTGATTAAGGTCATGACCTCCTCCAAGGGGACTCCCGTAACTGTTCGTAACTCCACCATGGTTCCCATGGGAGTTTCCGCCCACGAAGTTTTCAGGCACGCCATATTGATTGGATAAAGGAGGCTCGCAGAATACCGTGGCCATGCTCAGCGCCATTGCGAGTATTATCTGGAAAAAAGAGTTACTTAGAAAATTAGCCAGTCGATCTTCGAGGAGGAACGATCGTTGTCCTCGGTGCGGTCCCTCGGGTTTGGTAAGAACGATGGGGGAAATTTCCCGAATGGCACAACTGATTTTATAAGCCGCAAAGTGGACTTTTCCGAACGACATCGCGCTCGAACGGCGTCCCAAGTTTTCCGAATGGCAGGCACGGCCAGTTATGCGAAGTTGTCGGCTTTTGAGACGCCAATCGGTAACTTAAACGAAGTTTACTGTTGAGGAGGGTTACCATGCCCGTTTGCCCCGCTAAGGGGTGCTGGGCCCCTCGACGTAAATCAAGTTATGTGAATGGTTTTCGGTAAGGGCTTTAACTCCAATTAAATTATTCCTCACTCAATTGAGTGCCCTAAAGTATTTAGGCGTACGCAATTGCAGTTGGCGCGATAGGTCGATCGGTGGGTAGCTAATTAGCGCGAAACTAACCGAGGAACTAACCGAGGGATTAACTGGGAAAAGGAGACGCCAAGATTGCACACAGGGAGTCTAATGACGTGGTTAATTACTCCTGCGTATTTATTACGCAAATATTTGCACTTTTAATTACAGGCTCGACCCAGTTGCTCAATTAATCCCCGCGTACTGGATCGCGTTAGGACGTTTAAAAGACGCAACGGGATAACCTTTGTACGGATCCCTGGATTACGTGAAAAGAAGCACTAAACGCGTTTATGGACCGTTGCGCAGGGCGGTATAATTGAAAAAAAAAAGGTACCGTCACTTAATCGCCCGGGGGAATTAGCCAATTTCTCATGGTGCATTACATGACTTAATACCGGACGACGCGAAGCCTATTAAATTCTGCGCACTGGCTAGAACGTTTTTACAGATTTATTCGCCGAGAGCAGAGGAGGCGTGCACCCATGAAATGCACGTGGAGAACACTTAAGATGCTCCCCTTCTCTTTTATTACCAAACAAACGAGCCCATGGGAAACTTTTCCGATAATAGCTGTATTACATACTCATGAGGGAACTTCAATGGGAACTTATAATCGTATTCGATACGGACTCTCGATAACCGCGTTCACCGATTTTACGGGTCGAGATTTTTACCACGGCCTCCCAGTCCGTTCGTGAAACTACTTTTAACCCTTTTTCCTCGGTATAAGAAAATTACCGCGAGTCGTCTTCTCACATACGGCTCTATCTTCGCGTTCCAAGCGATCTTTGCGAACGTTCGCGCAATTTAGGCTCATATAGAGCACGATTTTGCGTGAATTCCGACGAACCCTTCAACGCGCCCAAAGTTCGCTCATCCCGAGTGCGTCGTCGTCAAGTTTGCCGTCGAGAAGTCTCGCGGGTGAAAACTGTCCAACAAGTTCGAAAATTGAGCGACGCGTTTCCAGTCGTCGGATGGACTCGTCCCTTATCGCCTCTTATCCCGAGACACGATCTGACGTCTCTGCAGTTCCTTAGAGCCGACAACCCGAGAAACTTCCACGACTCGGGTTTGACCACGCGCTTCGTCGAACGTTCCGTCAAAAGTTGAGAATTCAAGCCTCGCCTAAGCGTTATCGACCGTTAACGAGCTCTCGGGAGAATGGACTATCAAGGGATCCACCTCTCGAGATATCACCTCCCCTCGTCGTTCTCCAGACTATGTTACGACGTCGCGACCGCTTTTCAAGTCAATTCCTTGATCCCCAAGGATCCCAAATTCGAAGCCCAAATCTTCGGCACCAGCGCGCAGTGATGACCAAAATCGATCTTGGCCTCGCCCCTGGATCGATCTCTTTTACAAAGCCACGATCAATTTGGACCATCACTAAGAGCCGGTACCAAGATGGCGGATTCCGAGTTCCGTCACCACGGAGTGTCGAATAAACGAAAACGCTTTCGCCAAGAGCGATCCGGCCACAAACTGCAGAGAGCCGCGGTCATCCCGGCAGTATGCACGTATCGTATTGCACCACGTTTATGCGTCGTTTTCGGAGCTGCACTTGAGGTTTCCTCTGCTCGCGGAATCGAGTTCCGGCGCTGACGCGGTGTAACGAAAACGGGAATCGAATTACGTCGAACCCTCCGATGGAAGGGCTCGTAACTCGAGGTTACGGCGGTTAAAAAGAGATCCGCGCCCGTGGATGCACTGACTGGCGTCACGTCCCTTCCCGGTCCCGTGGACCGAGCCCGGAGTCTGGTCCCACGGACATCCGCGAAGCGCCGTCGCGACGCGCGGCCCGAGGGCGCCTTTACCTGTCGCACCGCGGTATCCATATTTTCGTGGCACGGTACCGCCGACGTCGAGGACCGGAATGTGAAGATGGTCCTGGGTACGCGGACTATATATACCGGCCCGGGTTTCGAGACGTGGATTCCGCGTGCGTCTCATAGGCGTCTGTGTGCGTCTCTATGCGTGTCGGTTGATAAACGGACGCATACTCCAGTTCACACGGCGGGCGGGAGCGCGCCACGCGGAAAGCCTACGCTTTACTCCCCATTGTTTTCTTCGCGGGGGATTTCGGCGAAGACGCGAGCACCAGCCTCGGAGAAAGCCGCGGTTGCCTCATCTCCCGGCAGCCGAGCGCCTTTTTCGAGACGGCTAATTAGCCGACTCGCCTTTAATCGAGTTAAGGCCACGCCGCTAGACCGCTAACGGTGGGAACCCTCGGAAGGAACTTGGGATCGAGATTTCGGCAAGACCCACAGGTTCCGGGAGACCCTTCCTGCCTTTCCACTTTCTCTCCGCCCTTAATTCAGACCGAGAAATGCCGCGGACAAAGAAATCCCACCCGATTCGGATCCCAGCTGGGAGCGAATCGGCGAATTACCCCTTTAAAAAAATTCCAGAAGACCGCAAACCTTCTTTGGAGACGGTGTTTTTTCCCGAATTGGAAGTTGCTGCTTTGGGAGGGCTTTCGAGTCTCGTTTTCACGAGGTAAATTAAATTATATTTATTTATTGTACAATTTACGCGGTTTTGAGACGTCATTATTTGCTTTCGTTAAGCTATTTGAAATAAATATGTATTTCTTAAACTCATATGAACTGGTTTTTATTGCCAATAGTTTTTCTTTTGCACTACTCCGCGTAAAGTGAGGGATGGATGTACCTCGAAAATCGAGTCGTTTGAGAAATTGAAGCATCTTCGATTTCGAGATGATTTTAGGGGATAATAGGAGGGGACGGTTTTATGTGGGGAGCACTGTATCGAGGAGTGAGGGGTAATTAGCGATGGTCGATAACGGCTACCCTTTGGACGGAACGAATGTCCAGATTAGAAGAAACGTCTCTATCGCTCCATTATGTGCACTTTCCTAACCGTTGTGATACACGGTACTCGCGTGCAAGAAATTATAACCAGCTGACATGGTTCACCGCGACTCGATTATTAAACTGGAGACCCTGCACGAGTATTATCCAGGTACATCGACACTAAACTTAGTCCTTGTGCGATCTTAATAATTTTGAATTATTATCCGAAATGATGAATTGCCCGAGACGGGAGTTCTAATCTCGTAAGTAATAAAATTCCGGTGGATGAAAATTGAATGATTACCTGCCGCTTTCGACGACTTCATCGGGTTGAGTAATGCACTAAGTACACGCATTTTCTTCTTACAAGGTGGATTCGGCCCGTAAAGTGCGTGGAGGCACATTATCGCAGGTCAAGTTTAACGAGCAACGCGTGGGACTTCATTTCATTTTCCAAAGAGTACTCGTTTGGTACAGTTGCAGGTGTAACAAGAAAAAAAATGGAGATTTTTCAGGATTTTTCCTACAGTTTCGTATGTACAAATTTGAGGTGATCAGGTAGCGAAATCGCGCTGTTTGCACACAAGCTGAGTCAAGTGCAACAGTGGGCCACAACAATTGAATGCCACTGGCATAGGGATTAATTTTATTCGTCTGCTTCCATGACTCGTTAAGCCGCATAATGCATTCTATGTACACGTATCCGTAATGTCCCTGAGAACGCAAATGTTCCAGAAGCGAGTTCCCCATTCCTCGGCAGCGACTCGTAAAACTGGAATTCAAGGTGACGCACTCTGAAGTTTCCCCCGAAATCTTCGTATTTACGAGGTCTGGAAATTTGCAACTGCAATTATTAAAACTGACTTTGACGGCGGCGCTACGTGAAACGCATTGTGTACAACGGCCATATTTATAAGCCTTTCTCGTGGTTATTAAACATGCATGACACCGCGTCGCGTCCATGGCTCTACTTTACATTGTCTGGTTTTTTCGCCAGGCGTGGGCACGATCTGATTACAAAGTGTCGGATGGGGTGACAAAGGCACTTCTCCTTCTAACCGTTCATAAAAATGATTATTAAATTAAGATCAACATATCGCGTCACTTATACTCTATTCGATCACTTGGAAAGTCGGCGGTGACGAAACGTCACGCTGGCATAACGGAAAGTTATACGAACGATGATATGCAGATATGCATAAGAATGAGTGGTACCATACTCGGTTATGCATAGGGCCGCCAGATTCATAAAACATAAAGTGTAGTTCAACTCAAGAGGGTTTATGAAGTTTCCATAGGGCGAGCACGAGTCCTGTCCCATCTCTCCGTTCTCCGGACGCGTTTCGAGAAACGGAACCGCGTGCGGCATAAATCAGTCGTGCAACGCCGAACTGGAATCGATCGTTTGCTACATCATTGGCATCGTTAATGTGAAATGGTTAATGCCGATGACGCGTGTCGTATGGAGAGGGCCGATCGCCAAGCTTATGGCCGAGGTCCCGTGATCGCGACGTAATCCTATGGGAAGCTATAGGAGAAAAGTCGAGCATTCACAGGATCTCCTGGATGACTCGACGCGTTTAAAGGCATGCATTGGTAACGCGCGGTGCGCGTAATACCCCGGTTACGACATTACGGCGTTACCGGCTGTAGGGTAATTATCAGTAATTAGATGTGCGGCGTCAAATTTAAACGAGATCTCGTCTTGAATCTCCGTAATTGTAACCACTGGTTTCACTAACTCGTAGAAAGCGGGCGCCAGCCACGAAATAAGACGGTAAATCGTTCGGACAATGAGCTCTCGCCTCTCTTGCTCGAATGACCGGAAGTGCCGCTGCGTTTCAAAAACCGGGCATATACTTCGGACTGATCTCTTTTAAGTTATGCCTTTCGAAACGGAGTAATCTAATTAAGCCGTAGGTCGACCGACATCCTTGCCGTGTATGGTACCGAAGAGGTCTCCTTATCACAGTTTAACATATGAAATAAGCACGATCCGTCTTGACTATCTCGTTTGATTGCACGCTTGTCTATATCTAAAATTTAAATTACGATTAATACCTTCCGCGTCTAGACCGAGGTAGATGGCCCGTTTACAAAGGATGTCCGTAATCGCGGTTAATATTATTTCCTGCGATCCTGTTTCTTCTTCGGAGCTTCCATTATCTCGTCCGCGGAATGCCTGAGGCTATCTGCTGCGTTGATATTTTCTTTCTTTTTCGGGATGTACCTTCTTTGGGAAATTATCAAGGCTCCGATCATCGACCGTGGCTTAATTCGTATGAAACTTCCGCTCGGTATCCTCCGCCATCCACGTGGTACTTCACATTCTGTACTCTTCCGTCCGGAAGAAGTACGTGGTAACGGCCGTCCGTGATGTTGCCGACCCGAGTTTCTTCGTGGCCGAAGTCGTTTCCATTTTCATGGTCGGTTACCCGATAGCCGAATGCATATTCCTGGGCGTAACGTGCCTGCAACCGAAAATGCACATTAATTAGCCACTCACGCAAAATTTCAGGGTGCATAGTAACAAGAGGTAATTTCGAAATAATAGACGCGAAGATTTTTTGAGCATCGAGCATATTTCGCAGTCGGTGAAGATTTTGAATTTGGGAATAACTGGGGTTTGAATTCGAGTTTTTTCGGGAAAGCCCCTGACGGTCTGTAGATTTCTTGCTTCGGTGAAAGATAGGCGACGTCTATTTAGGGGCTTCGATCCTCCGAACAGACCGAATACCGTGCCACTTACTCGGAAGAGTTTCTTTCCCTCCTGTTAGGAGGGCGAGTAATGGATCGTGAGCGAGATTTATATAGGTAATCCCTTGTTTTCACGGAAGGATGGATTTCTTTGTGCGCAAAAAAAGAACCGCAAAAATAGTACTCTCTCCTCTCTCTCTCTCTCTTAATTGTACAATTTCCCCGGGAAGGTTGTCCAGAGTAATGCCTCTCATAGAGCAATACCAGGGTCATCTCAGAGAATTCTATTTCGAGATAAAACGTGTGTGGATTATGTTTCCCTTTTCCGAGAACCTGCAAACCTGGCTCTGTATCGCGTTGCACAAAATATGCCTCGGATTCGCCTTGGATATAAATGAGCCTTAGAAAATCCGACGCAAATCTCGTGACTGAGCGAAGATTAGATTTGTCTATTGCGGTCTTGACCGATGATGCGCATTTGTTAAATACTGCACTTTGAGGGCCAAACCGCGTTATCTTTACCTCGGGCAAAATGGGCTTTGCAAATTATTCCCTATGGTCAGTTAAGCATACGAAAATTGAAAATTGCTTCAATAAGAAGTCAAATACTGCATTTTCAACGTAGAAAAATTGAGTGCATGGGATTTAACGCGTTGGTCTCGAGTACTGATTGCATCTGCTAAACGAGCGATCGTTATCAGTCACTGTGCAACACGTTGCGAGCTACTGGGAATTCTCTCCGGTTTGAAAGTACAACTGCGAACTTATCAGAGCCCTTTACCGTAGAGTTACTTCCAACTCGATGGATGAGTAAGACTTGAAACTTGGAAATTAATGACTGTGAGGAGACTCTGAGGGAGCTCTGCTGCTATCCATTGTACGGCAGTATTTCTATTTTCATTTACTCTCTGCTGTTCCACGGTGTCCGCAGCTGAAACGTTTGAAGCAAACTTCCGAGAGACAAGCGCGACGTTACCTTCATTCAACTTCTAATTATTATTTCTTTTTTCTTTTTTTCGTTTTTTCCATAACCACCTCTTTACAAACGAAAGAGATTTTCTTCCTCGTCTTTTTCGCAAGGTACCTTAAATTCTTTATGTCGAATGCGCTACTGCCGTATTTTTATACTTCTTAAATTGAGAGCAGAAAGTTATACCACGAGTATCGTAAAAAGGAAGAACGTTTTATCGTGTTTTATCGCAGTAAGGTTTCGAGCTTTAGATATCGTTCCTCGAATCGTTCCCGGAGTGTTATTCTTTCGAGACACGTATTGCATTTTCTACCGAGACTTTTGTGACGCCTCGTCGCTTTCTTTTTCAACAAGT